TAAAATAATTCTCACGACGTTTCGGCCACAACGCAAGCAGCTGTCCTCACGTGAAGAACAGGTCTGTCACCTGAGGACGGCTGCTAAAATAAAAAACAGAGCCTGAAGTTTATTAATTTAACTTTTTATTATTTTATTATTTCCCTTATACGTGACTTTACCGAAAGAACCAAGAAGATGAATCCCTGCAGTCACGAAAGCTTTAAATCGAAAGCCGTAGGCTGGTTTCGTTTTTAATGAGGACTCATCAGCACAGTCATCAATCTTGCATTGCCGCCATCTCTCTCTGGCAGGACACATACGTTAGCAGAGGGCTTACCACTACAGTCTACAGTATGGTGGGGGGGACCTCCCATTGGTGCCCGCCTGAAGTAAAACATAACTCAAACCCTACGCGTTCTGTTAACGACGAGGGAACCCATCACCACATGGAAAGAGGCGACTTGGAAACGCCGCCGACCGAGCCGCTTAAACGAGGCAAGCGTCGGCAGCGAATGCAACAGAGGGTTGAGAGTGAGGGGAGATCTCATTAGGAGCCCACAGCAAAGGCTAGATGGGCAGAGAGGCGTGGGCGTGCATCGCATCACACAGGGATGCAGTCGTCCCGGCAGGGAACGTCTGACCCCGCCGGTAATGAGAGATGATTTGGGCCAATGGCTTGGCTAAAATCCATGCACAAGCCGAGATGCTCTCACCGCCAGCGTAAGGCACCCCCCGATCTTTCATGTCCACTCTCAACGGCTCATTTTACAATGATAAATAATGGATGAAAAGGTTTTATTTTGTCTGTTTGTCCGCCTTGCTTATATTGGCTTGCAAAACATATGAATAATAAAGCCTTTTTGAAATGCAGAACCATCATTTGTGATTTTATGACAGGCAATGTTGTTGTTCTTTTTCATCATAATGGATAGTGTGCATTGAAGCTGGGGGGAAAAGTCAAGAAAATTAGCAATATGAAGAGAGGAAAATGCCAAACAATCCATAGAATACTGTACTATAAAATAAATGTATTTACCAGGTAAGGCTCACTGAGCTTTAGAGCTATTTTAAAGTAGCAACCTGGCCACAAATGATCGCTCAATGAAGTGGCTTATCACGTAGAAATTTATAGCAGCTGAATACTCTAAACGCGCTATGATTCTAAATGTGGAGGGAAAAACCGGAGGACCTGGAGAAAAATCCACGTGACCACGAGGAGAACACGCAAACTTCAAATATACAGGCGTCAGGGTTGTGATAGAGCCCCCGACCTCCTGTACACCAGGCAAGGTATTTAAAGTCTCAACTTTGTAAAAAGAATACGTGAAGAAAAGAGTGAGAAAAGACATCGGACTGCACAACAGTGAAGTGATTGCAGAGACCACAACAAACAATGGGAGCCGTAAAAATAGAAGTCGAGGATTGATACATCGCAAAAAGTAGCACTTAAGACGTCAGGATGGAACCCTATTGCACGATAGAAACAGAATAATAAAAACGAGCGGAGGAATGTTATGAATATATCTATGGAAAAAATAATCATACGCCCCAGGAAATGAATCAATTTTGTGAGAAGGAAATTCCAGACATCACACTTGAAAAAGTAACCACTACTCTTCTCAGTATGAAAACGAAAGGGGGGAGGGAGGCTTGTGGATGAGATGGAATAAACTGTGGACATCGTGACAGAAGGGGGACCAGATGTTATAACAAAGTTATCAGTGGAAAGTTATTGGTGGAAACAGCTCCACGAAGTTTTAGCCTGTTATAAAACAGAACTGAAGGACTGTATAGAGTTACGTTGGGATGTCTCTAGCTGCAAGGGTTAAACTGTGTAGGCGTTTAACGATCGTAATAAAAACTGTATGCAAGTGAAGAATAGGCGGGGGTATAAAATGTTTGTTAATTTTGACATGTTATCAGTCGGTAAAGGGCCTATAACAACTACGTTGATGAATCTGAGCTTTCGTGGAGGCATTTCGATCCTATTTCGCACGAACTAACAAAGCCACCCTTCACTCTACATTTCTTTCACTAAGCACCGCTATGGAGACACGTATTGAACAGGCATCAGGGGACTGAAGAAAATACAGCCAATATCTGAATCTTATCCACATCGATACAAGGGACAGCTTTCCAGAAAGCAACCAACCATCCATCCAATTACACAGCCCTGCCCTTTTGCTCAGATCTCCTTCATTTGCCGACGATCTGCTAATCGGTTTCTGGAGGACGGTGCTTACAAACCGCGGCGCGTGTCCCAGCGTCAAATGCGTCAAACGTTCAACGAATGCGATTCAAAGACAAAGATTGGGGTTAATCAGAAACCTACAATAGACACGCCTTTGAGCAGTCGTTTGCCATCACTGTGGGTACCAAAAAAAATACAAAATAACAATTATATTTTTTATCGTGTTTGCGTGTGCGTGCTGACTGCAGCACAGGCGCACGGTGACGGAACTCTGCAGTAAAAAAACTGGAAAAGCGCAAAAAAGCACGGAAAGATGCGTGCTCGGATATTACACCGACAGACAGAAAGCGGAACACGTGGAAACATACGCAGGTGAATTAAATCATCCAAACCGTAACAAAACAAAATCACGTGGGCTTTAGGGAGGCTGTGTCGCGAGTTGGAATGGAAACCTGCCCGCGAGAGCGTCCACCGGGGAGACGGAGCGATGGAATCCGTTCGCGTGCGGGAGCTTCCGTGGAATATTACAGGGCAGGATCGTAAGAGGTGGCGGCTTCTCAGGGCAGCCTTCAACCAGCAGTGGAGTGACCATGGCTGATGATTATGAGAATGATGAGCCATTCAAGATTTTCAATTTTAGCTCAGACAATTTTTACTAGGACATGAATGCCAGAGATGCATTAATGTCTCTCCAGATTGCTCTCTGGACTCTTAAGCCAAATTGCCTTGACTAACTCTCAGCCAATTCTTAAGGGGGGGTTGCGGGTGGGCGGGTGATGGAATAGGCAGTCTCACTTGAGTGCATGAACGTACCACAGGCTTACTGGCACGGAATACTAACGAACACGCATCCAAAGGGCGTGAAAATGACCACGGGTGGATATTATGTTTTTCAAGACCGCGAACAAGTTTGACGAAGGAAAAACACAAGCAAACTTGCCAATTGGGTACGCGCGCACGTTCTGCGAGCGTGCGCGCACGAGGCGACGGGGGAAAGAAAACGACTAAGCGCTCCGTTGTGCCGCTCCATAGCGGCGGTGGCGGCGGCGATGAAAAGCGGCCACGCGGAAAGGGTGGCCGAGGAAACTCCACTTTTATAGCAGGGGTGGGGAACCTTCTAATTTACCGATGGCCCAACAGGGCTTTCAAATGCCTTTGGCGAGCAGCCACACACATTAACGCAAAAACAAAGACGGAGATCTCCCGTACAAGCCTGGAACAGACTGTTGGGGCCAGTGCTGTTAGCGAGCACCTATGAAGGCCGGCACGGCACACGAGGGGGTGGGTAGCCAACGTCACGCCCGGCCGCAATTGTCTCCCAAGTAGTGATGTGTACACACTGCACTAGGTGCTCATTTGAGGCTGAGTAGACCTAGGGGAGGCCGAGGACCAGTTAAAATAATCGTCACTGAGTGTTGGCCGTGAGTGTGAACAACATGAAGAAACACACACACCCTGTAGTGACTTCTGAAAGGAAAACTTTTAAAACACAGTTGTTGCCGGGTCGAAAATATTCCCCCTCTCGTAGACGATTTAGTGGGCGGGGGGGGGGGGGGGCTAAGATTCTTGCAGTGACGAGTAAATATCGTCTTGTGGGCCATTTCAAAGTGTTAGGCCTCACTAATGTGGCCGGGGCACGTAACGAAGTCACGGGGATAACGGATTTCCCGAAGGGTGTTAGGTCTGATGCCTCTGCCTGAACGTTAGCAGTAAACGTGGACATTTTCACGGGACATAAAGGGCAACTCAATGGCAGCCCAGCAGAGAACACATAGAGTTTGCTTGGCCAACTGTTTGTATTTTTTGAGGAAAATAATTTTGTCTGCAGCGTCAACAACAACAAAAAACACGCGAAGGTTGTTTGCAGCGCAGGCCTCATTTTGATCATGATATTCTACAGTTCTTGCACAACCCACCATTGAGGCTTCCCCACACCGTGTGACTGTACTTCACCACGCTGGTCATTGAGGGTTCGTGAAATGGTGCGGGGGCTATAACCAGTTTAGATATCATACTTGCCACTGATGTTAGCCGTGCCCTGGTATTTAACTCAGGTCATCCATCGGGTTCATAGCACAGTTCATGAAACCACGGTGCTGTCGCTACACACCAAAGCGTGCTGTATGTACAGTAAAAAAAACACATAACTAACGTACGGCTCTTTGTCAATGTCGATCCACTTCTGTATTAAGACTTCCCCAGGCCATGCAAGTCACAAGGTCTGCTTGACCATACCTCGAACGTGAAGGCCAGTATGAGTTTGGCAAAAGTCAGATTAAAATTAATTGCAGTCCACGATCCGGCGCAACAAAAAAATTTTCGTGGGCGGCTGCCAAAGACGTCGCATTCTCAATGTGACAAGTAAAAACCGCAATTTTTACTTTATTTTATTTCTTTTTTTCTTTTGCAAAAGCTTAAAACGTTTACGCCCAATAATTCCTCGTGTGTCAGCTGTGTTTTTGGTGAGGTTCTTATTTATTTATATATCTCTGTTGGGATAAGCTTTGATGCTCGCTAGATGGCTGAGCATTTGAGAGCTCTCAGTTGCCTCCCAGGGGAATGGAATTTGTGTGCAGTCAGGTGAGACGGCTTAGGGGGGGGGGGTGTGGGGGGAATGAACACCCGCTTTGTTCAAGCCCCCGCCAGCTCAGACATTAAGCCCTGGTACCGCAGAACCTGCACTTACGAGCGTACGGTTCTCAAGGTTTTTTCATGCTTACCTCGCTGCAAACGGCGGGCGCGATAAAGATAAAGCGAGCGGGGCGAGCGGCTCGGGCAGAGATGGACAAGGGTTGTTGTTTTTTTTGGCTTGCGCGACTCAACTCACCCTCCGGTCGTGGGTTCCACGAGGTCCGGCATGCCCGGCCCGGCCCCCGTCACGCCGCCGCCGCCGCCTCCGCCGGCCGACCCCTCCCCTGCGAGGCCGCCACATGTCACCGGCTCCGGGTCGAGCACAAAGAGCTCGTCCACAGAGGTGTCCACCACCAGGTGGAGGTGCTCCTGCAAGGCCCACAGCGCGACGGTCGAGTTGACCCGGTTCAAGAGGGAAAAATCGCGTGACGTCGCAAACGGCCGAGCGTCTTCAAGGGATTTTCTTTTTTTTCTTATAAATTCCCCTCCCCAAGTTTATGCCAACAGCGCTGTCGATACCATGCCACGTACAGCCCTTTTGTCACTCCACTTGTAGATGAGGGCCTTCTCACACGGTGTGGGTCGTGAGGGTTATTTGACCATACTCCACACTGATCGGTGAGGGTTGGTGAAGGCCAGAAGCAAAGACATGGCAGCATAATACACTCTTAGAATGGATTATTCAGCAACTGACCACTCTGATGCCCACAGTGTAGCCCCGCAGTAGCCGAGAACACCTGTATGTACGTTGTATGTATGTTGAACTTCTTTCGCACCATACGTAGCCAATCGTGCCAATCGGAGGTGCGGAATATCGAATCGGAAGGACGGAATCTTAATGCTACTGAATACACTTTCGCAATTGCATTCACGAGCTTATTAACCGCACCAGTAGCAAAGAGTTAACTGGCATAGCAATCAAAGCAATGTGTTTAGTCCTCAGACCTTGCACCCGCCAAATTAAGTGACAAACAAACATTTTAATAGTTTCATTTTTCTTTGCAGTCATTGGCAACCGTGCTAACAACGACAACTCGTGTCACACGAGAACCAGGCTAAACCGTGTGGCGCGCCTGGAATCGAACTTGGCACCTCAGAAGCGGTGGCTCGGTGCTCCAACACGCAGATTATGTCTTTCTGAGCCTTCGCAGTCGCCTCAAATACGAGAGGTAATTTCAACAGGATATCGGGATGTCCACATTTGCGAAACGTGTGCCCGGGCACGATGCCGAGTACGCAGAGAGAGGCGCCACCAAGGACCGGCGAAAAACATTTTTTGGGAGAAATGTTTTTTTTTTTTTTGGTACAAGCCGCAACCTATTAAGCATACATCAAATGTGAATACGTCTGTTTCATCTGCGTAGTAAAGAAAAAAACGCACAAAGCATTCAGTGGGATAACATCATAGAAGCGGCAAAAGATCACTTTGGTGACCTCTGCACTTGCCTTTACCGTCTGAAAAAATTCCGAATTTTAAAAGTCCCATTACAGGTGGGGGGGGGGGGGGGGCATTCCAATAGTGCCCCGGGGTAACGGCCAGATTGCGGTGTGCCAGTGTAAAGCACCCGACGCGTGGACAAAAAAAAAACCCTCCACGGTGGAAAAGTTAGCGTAGCGCTAATTGTGCTCGCCGCATACAGATTGTGCCGGCAAATGGCTATCAAGAGTAAAATGAAGGAAAACAAAAAACAAATCAGCACATCATCGTACCACATTATCACAACAGATGGCCTGTTTATGAAACGGTATTTTATTTTTAATATGAACGCCACTGTTCCGTCAGCATAGCTGATCAAAGCCCACAATTTGTAAATATTGCAATCAGAGTTTCTAAAAACACGACCATAAAGTGTTTAGACGCAAAGCCGCACGTTTGTTTTGTTAATGTGCCCCCTTCCCCCAGATTGATGCCGCGGCAGATCCATACAGTCAAAGAGCGTTACTGAAGCATTAGATCATTGCGGTCGTTAAAGAGAAGCTCATTCTTGCGATGAAAGCTGCCTTGCTGAGGGGCCCACAGTCCGCGAGGAAGCTGCCTTGCATTCTCCGCTGCTGCCCTCCGCGTCGTCTAGCAACCGCTATTTGAAACAGGCAGGAGGCTGGCCAGCTAAGGTCACCGATCAGTGAGGTCCTTCTATTCACCCAGCGAATTTGGGAAAAACAAGGCAGCATAGAATTCACAAAAAAGCTTTTCTTCAGAGTGGTTGGGCCTTCCTTGGCTCTTCTCGCAACAGAATTATGAATGCAGATCTTTGTCTTCTAAATGACCCGATTTCTAAAACATCTTTTAGAGGCGAAAATTAAAAAGCGACCACACTTGGTCTAAGAATGGGTCCGCATGCCACCCTGGAGTAAATGCCCTTCATTACGAGGCCCCTTAAACACGCGATCATGCGAGGAGTTTCAAACCTACAGGTCAACTATACAAATGTAGGATTACCGAGACATTAATTGTTAAGACTCCTCTCTATTATGAGTCAAATAAGCAATCCATGGGGCTTTAAACTGCGTTAATATTGATCCTTCTGTCCTTCCTTAATGGGGCAAACTCAATTCTCCTCCGCGCAAGTGCATTAGCCAACTGCATGATTTACAATTCAATTACAAGTTTTAGTGCAATACATTTACTGCCTCTGCCGCCGCCGTTGCCGCATTGGGGATTCTTATGCAGCTTAAACGATCTTCATGGTCACGTGCGGCGGGCCCAGCGATGGACATTTTTAATTGCATTCCACCCCGTCCAGTCTGTGCAGCCGCAACAAGATGCCAGACGCCAGAAAACGGCAGGTTTGCGAACGGGAAAATAAATGACAGCAGCATGGCCCGGCAAGCCGTGGGGCAAAGGAAAGTTACGTACCTGTGCTCTGTCTATCCGGAAAAAACGCTCGGCAGATGTGGCTGTAAAATAAACGACAAAAGTAACACACTTCAGTCAGGCGAGGCACTTGGGCACGTTTCTCTCAATTCGAGCCGCAGCAGCAGCAAATGTCCCCTGAAATTTGATTAACCGAAAAAAAAACAGCGGTATCACCCCGAATATCTGCCCTTATCCACAACCTTGTTTGCAAAGATTTAAATCACCTTAAAATAAAGTGGATATTTACGAGCAAATATTTTTACTTTTAAAGTTTCACTCAATGGGGTTTTTTTTTCCTCCATTGTGGGGCACAAACACAGAGGGCGCTAATGTCGAAAGCACTCGTGTGTCAGTGTGTACAGAGTGTCACTGTGTGCGCAGGCGAACGCACACTTGTGGCAGAACAAAGAGCAATAGACAAAGTACAGGATTTATAATGTACGTGAATCATACAAAAACATTAATACGGTAAACATACACGTATCCTGATGGGTGGCTCAGTAGCAGAGTGAGCGGCTTGCGGTCAGAAGATTGCGAAATCAGATCGAGGGTTGTGGATCGACACAGCCAATCATCCCTCCAGGGATGATAAAACGGTTACACCACTTTGTGGGGAAGCCAACAGTGGTTTTCCTATGGCAATTCTAGTGCCTGTCATTGGCATGTGAACAATTCCACCACTGACTCAAGGATGTGGTAATATTTTTTATTTTTTTATAGAGCGTCATTCGTGAAAATTGCATCTCAATACGATGGACACTCTTCCTGAAGCACTCGCATAGCTAGCAGACCTCGACATTGGCATTTAGCTCCTGGACGTATTGCCATCGCAAGAATAGATTACAGAACATACACAAATGGACGAGAACACTGCAGAGACACAAAACCACACACGTCCACGGGAACGGAAGTCAACAACATGGGGACCAGAAGGAGCGATGGGGGAACGCTTGAGCTCCTGGCAGGAGAAAATCCAGGGAATGATCACACATAGGCGGCAAAAACACCAGCTCCTCACATAGGCCAAGAGTGCCACCACCTCCTCCTGTGTGGAGTTTGAATGCGCTCCCCCTGTTCTGCATGGATCTCCTCCAGATTCAACGATTTCGTCCCATAGCTAAACAAAAAAAAACACCCGTGCAATGCAACTGGTAAGTGGCCTAAATGTCCGAATGCTCCACAAATTACCTGGAAATGACTCAATTGGAACCACACACAGCAGCAGCATCACCCCATATTGCAAAGACTGGACAGGACCCTCCTGAACAAGAGTCTTGAGACTCCGCAAAGCTTTCCCGGTAAAACATACGTCATAATCATAATAAAACACACCACAGATGTGTACAGGAGAACCCCAAGAACAACCTACGCAGTGGTATCAAGTGAGAGGGGCGTGCGATTTGTGAAATCCGTGGAGTGCCGTTCCATTTTTCAGAGCTTTTTTCGATCACTACCGGGAGTTTCCAATTCCTCGGGGACGAAAACGACGGGCGCTGGGGTCAAGATCGTAAATCACCGTGGGAATTCCCCATTTATCTGGACGACGCGCGGGCTGCCCCCGCATCGCCAAAATGCGGTGGGCATCGCGCGTGGAGAGAAATGCAAACCGACTCTGGTGAACGAGATCCGGTTGCTACCTCTGTGGTAGAAACAAAAACATAACAACACCGGGACGTATCATGGGGGAAACAGCAGAAGCGTATCTGACTTAACCAGAATTAGGGGAGAGCCACATGTATAATGCATTCCTCTCGTTTGCTCTGTTGCTGGCAAAAAATAATAATCGGGACGTTTAATGTCGCAAGAAGAATTAAATACATTTCTCCATGAGAAAATGGCTACCTCAAAAAATGGGACGATCCTGGGGGGAAAAAAACCCTAGCTCCACGTCGCAATAGCACACGCGTTGTGTGCTCAGGAAGCACTGCTCCCATCCCTGAAACAATTCACCCACTCGTCGCTGCTTAAAACAAAACGAAAAATTCTAAACAGTGGGGAAGATGGAAATAATTAAAACTTGGTTTAAAAAAAAAAACGGAACAGTGCGCGGAGTTAACAATGTCCCCATCTGCACCCGATCTTATTAGTAAACGATGGAAACAACGTTTGCTGCAGACTCACTATTAAACTAAACTATTTTAAATTTTACCAGGTATGGCCCACTGAGCTGTATATCTCTTTCTCAGAAACGACCTGGCCACAAATCATAGCTCAAAGGAATGGCTTATCACGTGGAAATGTATAGCAGCCAAATACTCCAAACACACGTTGATTCTAATTGTGGAAGGAAAAACCGGAGGACCCGGAGAAAAATCCACGCGACCACGGGAGAGAGAACATGCAAACTCCAAATATAAGGTATCGTCAGGGCCGGGATCGAACCCACGACCTCCTGCATATCGGGCGAGGTGGTTAACATCTCACCACTTCGGCGCCCTTAGTGCAGAATTATCCTGCGCGTCTCTACCGCCACAAAGCTTATCCCCAACTCGGGAAACAATTTGTGTCTCCGTGACGCCTCCGACGGAGCCATATGTCAAACTTCGCATCCTCGCTCACCGCCCGCAGGAACAGCTGTTTTTGAATTGGGAGGCAGTCAATAATTTATGTCCACTCTCCCAGTGCCGGGGCATCTGCTACAAAACAGTTCTGCCGTCTCTAACAGCCTCAGGGTCAGCCCATAAAAGGAAGCAAGAAGCCAGAATTACTGTACGCACTTAATGCCTCGCAGCCCAATGGCACTACGCGTGTAGTGGCACTGTGGGGAATAGGGCCGTCGCCGATGTTTTTGCTCAGCGCCAAAAAGAAGCACGCGAAAAAAGAAGCCATACTGCGCTGTCGTATTATTTCCCGCATCCAATTCTATTCTCACATGTTATGGCAGCAATGTGTTTGGGAGCTAAATTGCCAATGTCGAGCTCTGATAGCCAAGTTTCGTGACTGCAGGGATTCATATTCTCGGTTCTTTCGGTAAAACAATAAAAAAATCCAGAGAATTTTTTATTGTTTCATATTTTTATTATTTTATTATTTCCCTTCTACGTGACTTTACCGAAAGAACCAAGAATATGAGATAGAGTTTGTTTCGTGTTTCTGTCCCTACGTCGACGTAGTGCAGACCACAGTGGTTTATGATAGTCAATAGTTTGGGTTGCATGACCAAAGTCGCACCGCTGTGACTCGTCTTTAACGTTCTGTTCATCTACGATATGTTCGCATCGGCCTGTTAGTCTTCTGATGCCATTGATGTTTCTGCCAGCATCGAGGAATGTCAGAGGCACGGCTTGCGATGACGTTTGGGTCTCGAATGAAGGGTTTATTCTGGACGTCCAAGGACGTTCCATGCTGTTCGCTAGTAGTGCTCTTTCGGATCTGGCTGAGATTCTGGGATGGTGACAGCAGCAGTGCAATCCCAGAAAGGGGGATCGGGACTTGAGACTGCGGCGAAGTTCACTGTCGAGGTCTTCGTTGATGGGTAGTAGTTTTTTTTCCTGCATTAAAAGCCTACCATTCTACAAGAGTAGCACAAACTTCATCAAACACCGTACAACAACTCTTCAACCCTTCTCACTCACGCACTCACGCACACACGCAAGCACGCACGTGGACAAAAAGCTGCCCTTCTTTTCAAATGTCACGCGTAATGCCGCAATTTTATAAAACACACATTCCGCTTCGAAGTGGAAGAAATGTTAAGGAAGGCAACGCCTCAGAATTTGCTTTGACTTTGAGGTAAAACCAGTGCCGTTATGTTCTTTAAAAAGCCGCCATACGTAAAAATGTTACGTGCTCCGTGTAGGAAATACAACTGAGAAAAACACAAAGCCCAGCGACGTCACGCCATGGCAAATGGAGCGTCTCTTCTTTCCAAGGGAGTTCCTAATTTCAGCCTCAATAATAACGCCACTCACTTACCCATGGATTCTCACGTGAAATAATTTCGTTTCGATGAATTGCAAGCCTTAAAACAGGTCCAAATCGCCTACAGGGCCTACAATCATGGACTATAATAATGGTGACAATTATTTACCAAGAGTCTGAAGGACTCTTTTTCAAGAGAGTCTTACTACATTGGGATATTTGCCCAATCCCTTTTTTTTGCGTGTTTGGCTTCATGTTGGAAAGGAATCTGTAGTACCCAGAAGAAAGGGAGTGGCATGCAACATCGCCACCTCCTGGCCACAACATCCCAGACCCTGGCCTACAACACCCGGCAAGCTCGCGCATTGTTCACCCGTCCCAACACTATCCGACCTCAACCTTGCATAGCTTTACGAGATTTTAACAAGATTGGGTTGCATTCTGGGCAATTTGGCCGTACGTCTTTGAACATATACATAGCGTTTATTTTAACCGCATTTGTTAAAGCCCACACTGGCACGCTGTCAATCGGCATATCTTGACTGTGGGGGAGAGCGGGTGGGACGGGGCGGGTTTTGATGTCCGTGTGCAGAATAGGCTGAAAGAGACCCATTATTCCGCAGATATTATGGCTCGTCTTACACGTAATGGAGCTATTAAAGCGATCCTGACGACGCTCGTGCTTGACAAGGGGCGACAGTCACCGCTCGTTATTAAGCCGCGGAGGTCTGCGAATGCCTGCACGCGTGCACCGCACGTCAGTCGCGCGCGCTCGTGATGACTCGGGGCGAGAGCGACGCACGCGGGACATTTTTGCACGGCACGGAAATGGAAATCGAGGACGCGAAACGCACGGGGCTCCTCGGCAGAGGGAATCTCTCCACCGTCTCCCTGTGAACGTAATTAGCATACGGTCTAGACGTGTTTTTTATTTTTCTTGCAGACAACCGGAATCGCACACCTGTAATTGGCGACAGCAACAATCGGTGGGAACTGATGCTTGGTTTTACACTGTCTCTCCGCTCATCGATTGAGATGCTTCAATTTCATTCCTGATACATCAGCCCTCACGCGGTAACTCTTGGGGGGGATGTTTGGAAACACAAAGTAGTAAAAACGTGATGGTGTGTAAGAATAAATGTATTTAAACACGCGTGTGGGAAACAAAAACGGTGCCCGAGTGCCGGGCAAAGGAGGGAATGTAGACCAAAAAGGATGTTCACCGCTGGGATGGAGCTACGGAATCAGCAAAAGTGCAGGTGCTAGATGGATTGTTGAATTGCAAGACCACAAACCAATCAGGAAAGCATTCATCCAGCAGTGGATGGATCATGGCTGATGACGATGTGGTGTTTTGAACGCACACATATTATACACGTATGCATTTAACGATACAAACATTGACAACCATTTGCGAATCCACTGTTGGATGAAGGTCTCCTAGTCTCACATAAGTTACGGGATGAATGGTGAAGGCAGGGGCCAGGAACGGTTCAGATATCTGTGAAAAAATAGCATCATAAGCTCATCAGATGCTTCCAGTCCAGTATAAATAAAGGTATCACTCGTCACTGATGGTGACCATGGCCCAGAGTAAAACGCAGGTGGCCAGATCCATCACGTGGCTTTGCAATCTACTGTGCCGCCGCTCCAGTGGCGAGCGACATTTAAACCGTTCCCAGGACCTTCATCCCAATTCGCCAACCCAGTGCGGTGAAGTATCGTTGAACAACCCCCAAGGCCGGCACAAGGAGTAGCCTTCATCCAGCCGTGGACCAAATGGGCTAGAATAGTTGTATTTTATGTTGACATAGAACTTAGATAAACAATACGAGTTATTGGTGAAAATTAAAAATCTGTGGGTGGTTTGGAACCCAACAACGTGGTTTCTTAATGTTCACTCTGAGCAAAATATATACACACACATTTCTTATTGCTCGCTCGCGCGCATGTGCGTTTTGTTATTTTCTTTGTTTTTTTTATCGCTCCACAGCAATGTTTTGGCAGGAGAGGGCCGGATTAAGTCCTGTTCTATAAAGGGCACTGTATGATGTTTCGATTGTAGATTTGCCGTTTTGTCAAAAGTCAGACTCTAAAGCTGCGTGGAAAGCCTATCGCGTGCTTCTGACAGAAAAGCTTGCACGGACAAGGCAGACTTGCAGGCAGACTGGCAGGCAGGTGCAGAAACCCAAACGACTGCTCTCGACAGGGCCAGCAACTAACCCAGGGTTGCTTCAATAATTCCTTGCGGCCTCGCAAACATGCGCCAAAGCGGACAGGACATCTTGGACCGCGCCATTCAGAAACGGGGTCTGACGTGAATCGTTGAGGCGAGAATCACTGATGGAGCGGCGGCGGCGGCGGCAACAGCTTAGAAAGGCTTGACAAAGCAGAGCGGACGTGGGTGGATAATTGTTAATGAGATGCTTTTGCGAGTGGGCCACGCTGCACGTGCTGCTCATGCTAACGAGCTCGCGTCGTTGTGCTGAGTCCGTCGAGTTGCATGGGGAACGGCGAAGGAGGCGCGGCCCTAGGGTCGAGTGAGAGATCGCGGAGGGGCATCCTGCCATGGCACGCTCGTCAGACTGCGAGGGAAGAGAAGAGGAGGTGCTTGCAGTGCAGCACGAAATATCAGCGCAGTAGCAACATTCGCACGAGGAGAGGCGATCGAGGTGGCAAAGGTGCAGCCGTGCAATCACTTGCTTATATGACGGTTGGCAGAAGTGCCTCTGCTTGAGGGAGCTCTATAGAAGCCTTCTGGAGGGTCTTTGAGCCTGCTGGGTCCACACTGGCCTGACATCTTTATTGACGAGGTGGGAGAGAGCCCAAACTTTACACCACCGTGCCCGATCGCCTGACTCTGGCGTCCCCCCATAGAAACCGGCCGGGTGGGCAGAGCGGGCAGCCGGGACGGATGGTAAGAGGGCTTTGTCCATCATTGCAACTGCGACGCAGGCGAATCGAATACGAGCCGTGCGAACCACGACGCGCCAGGGCAGCAACCCCGCGGAAGGCGAAGCTTTGCGTCCTCACTGAGCGGCGACCCTGTATGCAGACGTCCCCAAGAAGCTGACGCCTTGGCCGCCAGCCGCGAAAAGCATCTTGCAGAGCCGGCCCCTCGCCTAACGAGGCAAATGCCGCGAGGCACAAGAGCTCTGAAGCACAGCCGCCTAACGAGCCCAATTCTCACGCGTCGCTCGCAGCTATTTTCATAACGAGGCGTCTTTAATCGCGATCTGTTTACTCTGGAAGATAAAAAAAAATCACGTAAAGTGGTCGTAACGTTAAGAGGCTGCGTTGTTTCGTGTCGGGGTGTTTTTCTCTCCCCCAAGTCACGGCTGTAGCGGCGTTGGAAATCGCACGGCGCGTGTAAGCAGGCCGTTAATTATTTCCCTTGTTTGAACATTTCCATCTTTGGGGGGGGGGGGGGGAGGAGGGGTGAAAAACACGAGGTTTGGCATCGACAAGTCCGATCGATGCGACATCCGCGTCGATCCGCCGGTCAATTAATCTCTGATAATGAGGCCACCGGGTCCTCTAGGGGGCTTGGAGCAAACGAGCACAACGTGGGCGTCCGGTTCCCGCTTGAAGTCGGGAAACCCCCGGGAGACTCCAGGGGTCTTCACCTGCCTGTCCCTCGTCTCAGCAAGGTCACGCAATTGATGTGCCCCACGGCCAAGCCGGAAGTTTTGACCGGAGAATTTTAAATGAATCATTTCACGGGGAGTGGAGGCATGGGGATGGGAGATGTATACACACACGGAAGGAAATCTAATGAAGCATTAAGACATATATTTGAGACTAGGCTATAGCCCCGTCCAAGGAGGTGTATTGCAGTTAATCTGAAATATTAAATTGAAAATAATGACCCGCTCATGATTAAATTTTGCCTTAAAAATTTCGTGACTGCAGGAATTCATATTCTTTGGTTCTTTCGGTAAAGTAACATAGATATAAAAATAAAAATAAAGTGAATAAAAAATTTAAATAAAAAACAAAAACCACTCATGTAGACTGTAGCCTGGTTCTTAATCTAAGTGAGTGTACTGGCAGTCTATACTGTAGACTGTAGCAATGGTTAAGCTGGGTGAGCGTACTGACTATTTTAATTATTTTTTATTAACTTTATTTTTATTACCGATCATGATTACTAATGAGGGGTTGGGGCGGGGTCCACATGAGTGACGTCATCAGCTCATGATCATTAATTAGGGGGGGTGCCCAATGTGGAGTGACGTCACCCGCTAATTATTATGAATGAGGGGGGTGCCTCACGTCACCCGCTCATGATTTTTGAGGGTGGTGCTCTATGTGGAGTGACGTCACCCGCTCATGATTATTAATAACGGGGGGGGGGGGGGGGCTCATGTGGAGTGACGTCACATGCGGGACACACACACAGCCTTGTTTGGCGCGATATATAAGTTGCTGCGTTGATTTCTTTATTAGCTTTACTTTCCATAATGAAATGAAAGCTAATTTGTGTAACCAAATTTTCGTTTCCGCTCCACCTTCTTCATGCGGAGTGACGTCACCCGTTCATGATTTTTAATGACGGGGGTGGGAGGTCTATGTGGAGGACCCCACCTGTTCATGATTATTGATGAGGGGGGCTGGTCGACGTGGAGTGAGGTCACGCGCGTTACACACAAACATTCTTTGCTCATATATTAGTCATTGTGATACTGACGTTTGTATAAAGTCCACTGTGATGCCGAACTGAATTCATGTTTGGACCGAGGCTCTATCGGTGATTTTGTAGCAATTTTAAATCATGATAATAGTTTTGAGCCTTTGTGGATGTGAAACTCACCACACCACGTTGGTTATAGGGGATTGTTTGACCATACTTGACCGCACGGGTGAGTGCGGGTTGACGAGGTGAGGATATAATTTGCCACTGATGTTAGCCGTGGGTGGGAATTGAACTTGGCTGAGTTAAACCACTGAACCACCGCGCTACCATTTGAAATACGTAAAGATGAACATGAATCTATTCCAACTTGGAACAAAAAAATGATAATCACAAAGCAAGTACAATTAATAATACGTTATTAGTAGCATTGACGGCCCATAGTGTAGAGGGAAGGACTTGCCAACAACAGTAGTATAGTAATGGATTTTTACCCTTTCAACTAGTACAAAAACTGACACCTTTATACAAGGCATCATGTTTGCAATAACCACAACACAAGCAGTCAAAATGCAAACAAAAAGATACAACTCTGATGATGATAATGATATGCACTGTCCTTGAAGTTGATTGGTCCACACCCTATACAGCTTTTCTTAGAGCCTAGTCTCCATCAAACATGATGCCTTGTATAAAGGTGTCAGTTTTTGTACCAGTTGAAAGGGTAAAAACCCATTACTATATTTTTCCACTGGTAAAGGAGGTCTCATAGTGTAAACAGTAGTATACCAAACAGTCTTTGTTAAAAACACTTTCATTTCAAAATAAACAAACTCATTCCAGTGTTTCACATGTAAACATGTAACAAAACACATTATGTTACACAACAACACAACAGGACCATGCAAAAACATAACTGCAATTGGTTGTAATTCCTCATACTCCAACAATCGATATCTATACTTGCAAATGTACAGCCCTTTTGTCAATCCACTGCCAGATTAGGGCCTCCCCACGCCTGACCTGGGCGATGAGGGCTATCTGACCGTACTTCACCACGCCGATCGGCGCGGATTTGGTGAAGGCGTCGGGAACATAACAAGGGTGCAGGGGAAGCGTAGAAGTAGAGGACAACGATGCATTTTCACCGCACGGATGCGTTGGTCGCCGGATCGGGCGATGTTACTCACAGTCGAGGAAACACCACTTGGGCGAGAGACGCTGGGAAGACAGCACCCGGGGATTGGTGCCATCGCCCTCCTGCTGCACAGACGAGAGAGACGGCGGGTCTCAATACGTGGCGCGCATGTGTCGGACATGCACACAGCACCCACCAGTTCACGGTCACACCTCGATTCCAGTGATCCTCCAAGCAAGGTACTCACCGCCGCCCCACACCATCGCGGAAAAATCACAAACCTTGACTTAAAGCTTTCGTGACTGCAGGAATTCATATTCTTGGGTCTTTCGGTAAAGTCATGTAGATAAGTTCTAAAGAAAATAACAATAAATAACAAAAAACTACGACGTTTCGATCTTCCTGATGACGAACGCTTGTGTTGCGATCAAAACACTTTTTTTTTCTTCTTTGAACCTATCTACGTGACTTTACCGAAAGACCCAAGAATATCACAAACTTTGCTAATTAAATTAAATCGATTCGTATGAGATGCACGGGGAGAGAGAGGGGGGGGGGCAGACGAGTGGTACGCGTTGGGGATGGAGGTTATCGTTCCATTCGTAAGATGAGAAGATTTTGTGGCCTACGAGTCAGAGCTTCCCCTATTTCATTACAATCGCGATATTCATTTCAGCGGTGGCGCAGCACAATCACAGCCTCGTCGTACAAACAACCAGGAAGCCATGCATAGTCCACGATGTCAGGCGCGTCGTTTTGAACTGGGCCCACGTAAGCAACGTGCTGTGTATTTGGTGTAAAATCCAATAACTGCCGACGCATGCAAAATCACATGAGCGGAGCAGCTCAGCAATCACATACGCGACACGACGACGACAAAATCAAGAGAAAAGATTGAGGACGAACAAAGCCAAAGCTCCCCCGTATAGCCTCAACAAACTGTTGGGGCAAGTGCTGTTAGCAAGCACCTATGAAGGCCCGCATGGCACACGAGGGGTGTGGGTGGCCAGCACCATGCCCGGCGGCCTTTGTCTCCCTCGTCGTGATGTTTACACACTGCTCCAGGTACTCATTTGAGGCTGAGTCGATCAAGGGGAGGCCCGTGACCAGTTCAGATAATCGTCACTGGTGTTGGCCATGGGCAAGAATCGAACTCGGGTCGCCGAGTGTTCGTAGCGCAGCGCGCTGACCACTACGCTTCCGCTTCCCACGAAGAAACACGCGCAACCGCATGCCCCACATGTGAACGTGCATGCCAAACACGGGGGCATGGCACAGGATTGGGATGCAGAGGGATGCAGGGCGGGTGGGGGGGACAGACCTGGAACCTTCGCTGGAAGCTGGGAGGGATAAAGGGAAAGTCCTGCAAGGAGAAACAAAGCCGACGCAGCCAGAGAGTGAAGCTAACGCTGGTCCTTCCTTCCTTCCCCCCCCCCCAGCTCCTGCCAGCTTCTCTCCCGTGGAGTTAAACACCGGCCAGCAGATGCACTCACCCTGGCTCGGACATGCGCAGAGAGAGCTGTGTTGGAAAAGAAGAGCGAGAACTTTTTATTGATGCTCATAATTTCCATTCGAACCCCCGACTGTTTCTTATCAATGCCAGGACAAACCCCGTCGCAGCATCGCAGCGTTTTCATAGCGAGGACCGGCGCTCCCCCCTCCTGCCCCCCGCACAAATCGTTACCCCCGCCTAGTTTCCACTCGGCAAACGCACGCTGTGCCCTGTGCATGTGAGACCACATCTCTGCAACACGAGTGTTGTAGCAGAATTTTGCATTTTGGAGTTGGGTGGGGGGCAGGGGGGGCGGGGCGGGGAATGGAGTGGCAGGGGGGGCGGGGGGGCGGGGGGGGACAGGGGGGTGGGAGTGGGGGGGCTGCTTGCGTGGGTTTGAACATAGATGCCGCCCCCCCCCCCTTTTTTTTCCTCCGGCAAATGCAATTAAATCAATCGTGGATTTTCTTCCAATTTTCTCTATGTTTAAGAGGATTTCGTACTCATAAAGAACCCATGCGGTTAAAAAAAAAAACTCTCCCCTAGCAACCAGAGGACAAGCTATGAAAGTCACCGGGTTATGGGAAACGGTCTGTGGCTAAGAGCATGAGGGTTATATGTTTAGACAAATGAGTCCAGGGTAAAAAGGGCAGCCGACCAGTCTGACGTAACTGCAGGGAGGATTGCGTTTCCTTGCACGCGCGCTCAGAATTCACGCCAGCCCTTCCATTTCTCATTCTCTCCCGCTGCGCTGCTTTAGCTCCGCTGATGGCGGCCGCCCCCCCGTGGCATCAGAACTATCACCAACGATTACTTTTTTCTGCGCCCCCCCCCCCCCCCCCCCCCGCATACCATCCCCCACAATCCCCTCCTCTTACGTTCTTTTTGTGTGGGAACACCGCGGGGGCTCCTGATGCTACGCAAAAAAAAAAACCCCGGGTGAATGCAGACCACCTAATAATGCAGCCCGCGACGAATTCACGTACGCACGCACGCCGCGAGCGCGTTGAATGTCTCGTGCGTTTTTTTTCCCCCGCCCGCGTTTTGAAGAACGTCATGCGCTCGCGAACGCGTGCGCACTCCGCCACCGCCGCCGCTCTGACCGCCCGCAGCTGGACCCTGTGACAGCGCAGCAGGGCAAGGGGGCTGCCGGATCATCGCTCGCCCGCCAGTGGCGGAAACAAACGCAGACGAGCTGACGCCGTCGATCGCCGAGTCCCCGGGCGGGCGCAACCGCCGAGACGCGCGCGGAATCGGCGCGGCAGCGACTCCGTGCGAGCGGCGGGGTTGGAGCGCTGCCCCAACGTGCCGCGTGGTTGTTGTTCGGCGCGACATCCGACGTTTCGCTCCGCGCGCTGCCCCAGCTTCTTGAGAACGTGAATAAGAGTCCACGCTGTGGGAGCTTCCTCGGGAACTGAAAAACGGTTCGGCGAAACGTCGGACGTCGCGCCGAGCGACACGCGGCGGCACGACGGAAACAGCTGTTCGGCATCGCCGTGAGAACCTGCGCGGGAAGTGCCGCGGAGATTCGCGCTGACAACGTACGGTTTCGCGAGGATTTAAGGCAACAAAAAAACGAGCCCAATTGTTTTCCAGTTCACGCACGGACTTACAAATGCAGTTGTGCAAGAACACACGCACGCACGGCGCGGCGCTCACCTCTTGAAGGCGGTCAATGTGTGTCCGACACACCATGAGGTCGCAATCGCCAGGCACCACAATGACCCCCAAGGGCACGGCTGGAGGGGACACGTGAAGGGCAGCGGGGGGGGCAGAAGTAGAAAGCGAATTGAGCCAAGGAACAACAACCGCAAATGTCACCACACTTCCCGCAAGGCAGTTATTTTCGTTAACTGTAACCAAGTTTCCAACTGATTTTTCGTCTCGGGTGTGGGCCAATCAACTTCAAGGACAGTGCATACTATCATCCTTATCAGAGTTGCTTCTTTTGTTTGCTTTTTTGACTACTTGTGTTGTGGTCATTGCAAACATGATGCCTTGAATAAAGGTGTCAGTTTTGTACCAGTTAAAAGGGTAAAAACCTACTATTATATTTTGCCACTGGTAAAAGAGATCTCATAGTGATTTTTTTTCTTTTTCTAAAAAATGGAGTTTCATCGGATGTTTATAAGCATTCAAATGTCCTGCCAAAAAATGTTTATACTACTCAATAACATAAAAAAACACATGTAAATTTGGTTCACGTTCTATTGAGTGAATCCATTTTGGATGCAGCAAACATTTTTTTATTGGAAATAAGCTACATGTCACGAAAACTGTCCAATAATCACAGTTACAATGTGGACACACCTGTAACCGCTACACTGAGACTCGGGCTCTATTTCAGCCGGTTGGGCCCGTCGAGCCAAGTGGCTCTTTTAGAACAACAGCCACGGCCCCAAGACCATTGGCGGCAGTTGGAGGACAACGCCGTGGTGGCTAAGAGATGTTAACTCAGGAAGTCGTGGGTTCGATCCTGCATATTTTGAGTTTGTATGTCTCTCCCCGTGGTCGCGTGGATTTTTCTCCGGGTCCTCCGGTTTTCGCCTCCGCATTTAGAATCAACGTGCGTTTAGAGTATTCGGCTGCTGTGCATTCCCACGTGGTGATAAGTCATTTCGTTGAGCTATCATTTGTGGCCAGGTCACTTCTGAAAAAGAGCTACATAGCTCAGTGGGCCTTACCTGGTAATAAAAAAATAAAAAAACATTTATAGAACGTGCAAACCAACAAGAGCAAAAAATAACTTATTTACATGTGAAACATGCGAAACTTACTGCAAGCAGGAAACACATTACATAGAGTGTTTAAATACCAATTAACAACAGTGCTGCTATAAATGTCCACATGATTCGCCACTTCATTGCGCTATCGTTGGTGGCGAGGTCGCTTCTGAAAAATAAACTAATAGCTCAGTGGTCTTCACCTGGTAAAATAAAAAAAAATTAGTTGTATTTGTATTTTTTTTAATGATTTGCTTACCTTTCCCATACTTAGCACTCCTATCGTGTTTTTGTATTGTTTGTTGTTGTAACGTTCTTACCTGGCCCCTACTGGACATCTGCGAAAAAGAGCTTCATAGCTCATCGGATTCCTCCAGTATAAATTATTATTCTGATCCTGATTCTTGTCAGAGGTGCAAGTAAATAAACCGTGTATACACCCTCAGATATAACGAAACTTGGTTCGAGCATTCATAGCGATCATGGGCTGACGTGATTCTGTAGCAGGGTCTTAAAACGCATATGGCTAGGGAAGTTACCGTGACCCTCACCAGGACAAACGGATTGAGAAACAAACGACCAAATAATACATTTTATTTAATGCGAACTGGAAACCCAGTGCAATGCAGAGGGGCTCTATTTTTCACAGCACATCTTGAGATGAGGTCTCCCTCGTAGATGCTTTATAAATCCAAAACGTAAGTGATGAACTATCCTTCCAACACTAATGTAAGCAGATTCATCATTGTACAACATTTTTCAGCAACATACAAATCGACTCAAGTCTTGTCTTGAAAGTGCTTGCACTTACACCAACTCTCACAATGCTATACGGGGCTCCTCGTGGTGAAATAGGCACTTTGTAGAGATTACCATTTAATAACTTGTATTTTAAAATGTTTCTGCAAAATTCCTTCAGGGCTCGTTAAAAATGTGACGGAGTTTGCGTGCGTGGGCATAGCATGTTTACAAAGCGGTGTTTAATAAACTTGGATATGTCAACAGAAAATGTGCGGGACTGCGAATGCACGAGAACTCAGATCCTAACGCACATCGATGTGTGACCTGAACAGACACACCAGTCACACTGTGATGCTGTACCCAATATAAAATTGAAAATCAATCAAACCAATGCAAGAGAGAGCGAGAGCTCACAGTCCACACTGATCTACAATTCTTCGGCTCACAAACACTGCACGCGATGTTATCTTGGCATTTAAAATAACGTAAATGAAAGAGAGCCCATTAATGTTTGCGGAATTTACTGCAAAGTGGCGGCATTAATCCGTGACAAAGGAATGTAACCATCTCCCCCGGGAGAGCGATCCTGCAAAAAAAAAAACTAGATAACTTCTAAGCGGGGAAAACTTTTCATTAATTTTGTAAACTCTTCATATTTATTCCAAGCACTTGCAACGTAATTGCCCCAGTTGTAATACATCTCTCAAATTAAAGTTCCCAGAGAAAGGGAAATTATGGTGCTTTCATATCACGCTCTGCGGCCGAAATAAAGAACGAGAATCCTCCAAAGCTCTCACCTGGGCTGTACTGGACCATCTGTGGAAAAAAATAGCTTTATAGATCGTCGGATTCCTCCAGTATAAATACATAAATTTCGATTTAAAGCTTTCGTGACTGCAGGGATTCATCTTCTTGGTTCTTTCGGTAAAGTCACGTAGAAGGGAAATAATAAAATCTAATAAAATGTTTTATTATTTTATTATAATAATATTTTATTATAATAATAAAAATAAAACATAATACAATTATTTTATTATGTTTTATTTTTATTATTTTATTATTTCCCTTCTACGTGACTTTACCGAAAGAACCAAGAAGAACTAAATACATATTTTTATGATTCAGATTTTTTTTTTACGTGGTGCCAGAAGTGAAGGTGCAGTCCTGCAATTGCTTTCTTGTGCCACTGCTGGTGGAAGCACCTCCACTAGAGGAGAGCTTTCGAGAGCTCCAAGCAGGTATTTTCTCACACTTTTGCAGCCTCATATCGGTCCTCTGCTGTCGCCCCCTCGGTGTGGAACTCTCTATCCCTTTGCACATCGGCAACATCAAATGCACTCCGACTTTTAAGAAATATCTAAAGGCCTCTATCTGTTTGGCCAGGCTTTCGAGCAGCCCTGAGCTTGGCTCCGCGCCTTCGAGCTGTTGGCTTGTCTGCAAAATGTGGCGCGTTATAAATGTCATTATTATTATTATTTGGCCGACTCCTCAACATTGTCCACACATATAGGAAGAGGTGCGAGTAACCACACTTAACCCCAACTACACGACAAAACCCGCTAATCGAGAGTAATCTGTCGGTGTAATCATTTATTCTGCTGAGTGGGCAACAGGCGGGGGAAGAGGAGAATTTTTTTAAACTTGCGCCCATTGTTTCAACCGCCACGCCAGGAGGTCAAACCGGCGACCTCTGGATCGGTGCGCGCTGGCCGCTGCGCTATGGCAGCAGTCATATTACCAAGAATGGGCCCGATGTCATCAGATCAATGAAGCTCAGCAGTTTGTACCTGGACAGTGTTTTCGGATGGGTGACCACCACGCACAACAGGCAAGACAGCAGTAAAAGCTATTGTTGTATTGTGCTTCTATGCTCCTATGCCAATGCCTTCACCAGCATGCACTAACCAGCAGGGTGACGAATGGTCAAATAAATTCCGCAGGGAGGACCTCAGGAATGGATTGACAAGAGTGCTGTCGAGAACAGCCCAAAAGGTCAACAATATTCGTATTAATTGCAACAGTCACCCAATAAGTTGACCTCTGATATGGCATTGTGGAGACGTGGCGCAGTTGTTAAGAAAAGTGCTGGGGTATCATGCTGGCGACCTAAGTCTGATTCCCGGTAAAGGCTAAGATCAGTGGCAAGCAACAGCTGAATGGGCTCTGGGCCCAACTCCTTCACCATCCGGTACGCTCAAACGAACAAGTACGCTCCAACAAACCCTGACAGCCGACATGGCGTGGCAAGGCTTTCATCTAGCAGTGGACTGACAAAGACCTGTAAACGATCACTTAATACGTTAATCATCACAGCATTGTGAGCGGCATTAAAACAGCTGCCCTCAAAAAATGCCTGAGCAGCAGCACGCACTGAGGTTCGAAGCGTCGAGCTGAATTGAAAGATGCACACACACTGATGTGCACAGCATTCCAAGGCACTCAGTGGGAGTGCCCGGCGCTTCGCGACCGCACTCTGTCATGAAGCCACTTGTTGGGAAACACAACCTCAAGAATGCGTGACCTTCAAGTGTTATTATTATTATCGCCGCCGCCACCGTGCGAAGCCTCATAACTTTGTCTGGGAGCAGGCGAACAACAGAGAATGATTCACTCGTCTGCCTCGAAAGGCTACCGGGGAAACCAGCTGTTAGCGAGCACTTGTGCTATTGTGGCTTTTGTGTCGTATGAGGCCAGAGGGCCATCAATCCTGGCTCTGCTGACGATGATGGTGATGTATAATGCACCGCGTCCCGCGCTCATTTTAGGCCGAGCAGATCCCCACGACGTACGGGCTGCGGATGCCGATTGTCCCGTCATAAGCATGGCCACATTTTGAACTTGTGTCACTGCAATCAAGAGAGTTCACTAACCGCTACGCCACTGCTTTTCACGTGAAAGTATGTTTGGAGGCTCACTGTTGGCGAGCACCTATTAAGGACAGAGCGGCCCGGCGCATGTGTGGCCAGCACCATGCCTGGCCGTCTTTGTCTCCCCAGTGCAAATATTTAAACACCACATCAGCTACTCGTATTCAAGGCTATGTATATGTAGTGGAGGCCCAGGACCGGATCAAATTGTGTCGCTGGTGTTAGCTGTCGTCAGGAACTCAGGTCGCCGAGTTCGTAGTGGAGTGAGCTCACAAAAACAAAGATTCCCCATCATAGCCGCCCCAGGTACACATGTACATCAACATAGGTAAGGTACAGGAGTAATGAGCTAAACACGACACTACACAAAGATCCTCCATATAGTCTTAACAGACTGTTGGGGCACGT